AGAGATGACTTTTTAAAAAAAATAAAAATAGAACTACTATACGATCCAGCCATTCCACTTCTGGGTATTTATCTGGAGGAAAAAACCCATTAACTTGAAAAGATATATGCACCTCTATATTCACTGTAGCATTACTTACAGTAGCCACGACATGGATACAACCTAAGTGTCCATCAATAAAGGAATGTGTAAGGGAAATGTGGTATATAAATACAATGGATTATTATTCAGCCATAAAAAAGAACAGTAGTTTTCCATCTGTGACAACATGGATGGAACTTGAGGGCATTATGCTAAGTGAAGTAAATTCAGACAGAGAAAAACAAATACTATATGATCTCACTTAAATGTGGAATCTTAAACAAATACACAAAACTCATAAACACAGAGAATAAACTAGAGGCTGCTAGAGGCAGGGGTGAGAGATTGGTGAAGTGGTTCGTAAAGGAGGTCAAAAGATACAAACTTCCAGTTATAAATTAAGTCATGGGGATGTACGGTACAGCATGGCAACTATAATTAGTAATACTGTATTGCACATTTTTTTTTTCTAAGATTTTATTTATTTTACAGAGGGAGACACAGCGAGAGAGGGAACACAAGCAGGGGGAGTGGGAGAGGGAGAAGCAGGCTTCCTGCGGAGCAGGGAGCCCGATGCGGGGCTCGATCCCAGGACCCTGGGATCATGACCTGAGCCAAAGGCAGACGCTTAACGACTGAGCCACCATTTAAAGTTGCTAAGAGAGTAAATCTGTAAAGTTCTCACTACAAGAAAAAAAATCTGTAACCATGTTTGGTGATAATTTTTAACTACACTTACTGTGGTGATCATTTCACAATATATAAAAATATCAAATCATTATGTTGTGTACCTGAAACTATTATAATGCTGTACGTCAATTATCCCTCAAAACAAAACAAAAAAGAACAAAAAACAAACCAACAGATTACCTCAAGTCTGTGCACTTGGTAAACCTCCTGTTGACCCCTCTGCCTCCTCACAGACTCAGGCATTTCTTTTGAGCTCTGGGGCTCTAGAAAACAGCCTGAGAACCACTACCTTCAACCCTTCTCTAAGTGTGTGCCAAGTCCATGAACTTGAAACTAGCAGGTTTGAGACAGGTATTTCAATTCCTTCATGCCCAGGCATACTCCTCTCCCCTAGCACTAACCACTAGATGCTCTTACCATTCACATCTTACCTGTTTGTACTTCTGAGGCAGACTCCAGCCAAAAGCCTGCACTCTACCATCTTCCTTCTGAACGTGTGCCTTTACCTGACGATACTGTTCTCTCTTTTGTTCTCTGCGCGAGGCTAAACTAGCTTCAGTTCTAAAAGGCAAAGAAATTTCCCTTTTTAATTAAGGGAATATAACAGTGTATCTCCCCTTTCCCGCTAAGACAGCAAAAATGACAAAAAAAAAAAATCACCCAATTTCAGTTTACTTCAGAGTTCCGCATTTCTAAGAAGTGTTAGCCTAAAGCTGGCCTTTTAAAGTTGTACAGTGGGTACAGTGTTCAAACTTTAACAGATTAATCGCAAGCAGCTTATTTTATTATGCTGAATCATCAGCCATCAAATTTCTATCAGATTTCAGATTTGGCCACATGAAAGGGAAAAATTCTTAAATATTTTTTAGTTCCTCCCTTTTTTGTTCATTCAACAAATATTTACTGAGAATTTTCTCATGCCAGGGAATGTGCTAGAAGTGACTCAAGATCAATAAATCAGTATCTTCTTAGGAAGATAACAAAGATTAATTTCTGGACCCCACTGCTTTGTTTCAGAAGACAAAAATGCAAACTGACTTGCTATGTATGCCATAGTTAACAAATCTGTGTGTCAGACACTTTACAAACCCTTGGTAATTTAACCCTAGTGCCTCTGAGACAGGTTATCATACTCCATTTACAAGCAGAGAAACTGGGGCTGAGAGGTTAGCTTGTCCAAGTTCATGTACCTCATGAGCAGCAGAGTCAGGAGGGAAAATAAACTTCTTCTGACACCAAAGGAAATGTTCAAACATTTAGGATAAAGGCTTATATAGGCCTTTAACATTTTACTAATATTTACCAGTGTTGTTGACCAGCAACAAAGAGACATTTTAAAACAACTTCTGTTTATGAAACCTGTGAAATACAATTTTCATAAAAGGTATTGACTACAAGTAATCTACTTAAAGGTAGGCAGCCACGTTATAGAAATGGCTTCTTTATGGACTTATGTGAACCTTACAGCTGATCGGATAAGGGGCAAGAATATTCTGAACTATTAAGTTATTTAGCGCATAACCACTAGTCTGCAAAATACTTACTCTTCACTAAGGAAATCAAAGGCTTTGGACTTATCCCCAGGGAGCTGAGATAAGGTGCTGCTTCTTTTCTTGACAGAAGGAGTAACATGAGAAGTGGGTGCATTGTATTTCAAATTAACAGGTGGTTCAGGCTTCTTAGTAGTATTACTTGAAGAGCTGAAAAGTCGGCTGAAACTAAAAAGAAAAAAAGTGAGAGAGCGAGAGAGAGAGAGAGAGCAAGAGAGAGAGCGCGCGCAAGAGAGAAAGAGTGTTATTACATGCACTATGAAAAACAATCCATTACTTTCCATAAATTTCAGAGTGCTTTTACAAGGCAATGAGTTAGAAACTGGCAGAAAGAGTTTTTGTAGTCATACACTGCAGCCTTAGCAATAACTCACAGCCAAACTCAGACATTCAGGAAAGAGAAACTATTGCTTAGAATGGCAGATCCTCGCACTTTAATTAGCAATTCACATAATGAAAGAAAGAAACTCTTAAGTACGGGGAACTTCTTGTAATGAAGAAATAAGACGGGTCCTAGCTCTTCCTTGGTAAGTAGTTGTTAAACAGCAATGTTATAGCTGCATGGTTTGAACAGAAGCTTAGTTTGCCAGTTCTAAAAGTGGTAATAAAGTACTGGAACACATACTACCATTTTAACATACATCTTATACCTTTTCTTATTAAGCCTAATTGATAGATCTACCTTCACATCCACTTAAAAGAATTAACACTTCTATTAAATAGCAGATTCACCAAAAAGGGTAAATTTTAAGTATAGTAAATGCACAGTTCTTCTGGCATGAACATAAATCAAATCTGAAACACACAAATACACACACTACTCAAACCTACAGACACTAAATTTCTAAGCTTTACTTTATAAAGTTCTTTACAATCACACAACCAGTGCACCCATATAACTTATTTACTGAGGATCCAGGTAATTATCAACTCTATGAATAAATCCCCATCATTTTTATTTAATTTAGCAGAAGATTCCATCGAGTGCATAACCAACAGGATGCAGCTTACGACAGCATATGTTTGTCCTCAAGAATAGCCTTACCGAGCTGGCACGCTATGTATCAAAAAGAAAAAAGTTCAATTTAGCCATATACTCCAAATTTTAAAAAGAAAGGAGACACGAAATCATTCTCAGAAATAAATTTTGACTGCAATCTTGTCTCAAAGGGCTCTCTGAAGTCTTTAATGTGTTTTTAGATACTTACAACTGCCAAATGCTTGACCTTTTTTTTTCCTGCATGGCTGGATTTTCTCTTGATGCACTATATTTTAAAAGAAAAACAAAGAAAAAAAAAGTCTCATCAGTGAGGTGTTTTAGTTTTTTAGTTTTCTATTTGAAGAACTTCCCAAGAAGTTCATGGGATACACAAGAGAATCAACAATTAAATTCAGTAAATAGTTGCTTTGACCTATCATGTGTCAGTCAGCCTGTAAAAGCCAATACAACTAAGATAAATAAAACACCATCCCTCCATCGAAAAGCTCAGTCCACTGACAGAGACAAGACTGTTATCTGTGCTGATCGGACAGCCAACAGGCCTGAATGTAAATATTTTTTAAAAATTTTATTGAAGAGATATCTTCCAGTTCTCCCTTTTGTCAAAATACTGTCTTTTGAATCCTTATCTTTACATAAAGGTCTCTATCGTCCTCATGCTCTAACTCTCACAAGATAGCCTGTAACTTTACTGTTCTGATGGGTCATTTTTCATAGGACAAATACTTTCCCATTACTGAAAAGATGACCAGAGAAGGGGATAAACTGGATTGATAGGTAGTTCAACAAAATTTCAGAAAATAAGGTACTCCAAACTAATTTAGTAAGATGGTAAGGATCCTGCGCTCACTATGAGAGCTCACTTTTCACATTTTTTTTAAAGGACTAAATTGAAAACATCTTTAATTCAATGGAAAAGTATAAAATGAGACACCACTTCTTTTCACTTGTGGACTATCACGTGGCTGCTAGAACTAAAAATAGCAAGGAAAAGAGGAGCCTGTTGGGGAGCCTGTTGGAGAGCCTGGGTGGCATAGTTGGTTAAGCATCTGACCCATGGTTTCGGCTCAAGTCTTCATCTCAGTGTTGTGGGATCGAGCCCCATGTTGGGCTCCATGCCGGATGTGGAGTCTTGCTTGAGATTCTCTCTCCCCCTCCATCCCTCCCGTTCGTGTTCTCTAAAATAAATAAATATTAAAAAAGAAAGATGGAGCCTCTCTATATACCTCAATTTTTAAAAAAGATTTAGTTACTTATTTGAGAGAGACGGGGGTGGAAATCTCCAGCAGACTCCCCGCTGAGTGCAGAGCCCGATGACACAGCCCAATCTCATGACCCCAGGCCATCTAACGGCCATATTCTCATGGCCTGAGCCGAAGTCAAGAGTCGGAGGCTTAACCGGCTGAGCCACCCAGGCGCCTCTACCTCAATGTTTAAAATATTTATTATTTATGTAATATCCATTAAATGTTTGAGTTAAAGACAAATTTCTTAGTACATTACTTTCTTTGAACAATTAATGAAGATTAGAATACTGATCTCCTTCCTTCTTAGCAGCAATTACAAGTTTAGCAAATTGTAAATGTGCTATACGAAGTACTTTTGTTCTAGTATGACACTGGTAAAGGACATATAAACTGTTAAATAAATAATGTAATCACAAAGAAGTAAAAGTTGGAGGTTAAAAAATATGTTCATAAACTTTAAAACAATGTGTCAGTATATATGTACTGTTATTGGTAAATCTGACATGGGACTCCAAACTCAAAAATATGGGCAAATTACATCAGAAAGGATGAATACCCAACTTTTACATCAACATGGATGGGACCGGAGGAGATTATGCTAAGTGAAATAAGTCAAGCAGAGAAAGTCAATTATCATATGGTTTCACTTATTTGTGGAACATAAGGAACAGCATGGAGGACATTAGGAGAAGGAAGGGAAAAATGAAGGGGTTGGAAATTGGACGGGGAGACGAACCACGAGAGACTATGGACTCCGAAAAACAAACTGAGGGTTTTGGAGGGGAGGGGGGTAGGGGGATGGGCCCGGTGATGGGTATTAAGGACAGCACGTACTGCATGAAGCACGGGTGTTATATGAAAACAATGAATCATGGAACACTACATCAAAAACTAACGATGTACTGTATGGTGACTAACATAACCTAATAAAATTAAATTAAATTTAAAAAAATATGGGCAAATTAGGGGGCAACTAGTTCACAAACTGTTCATGAGCTCTTCCTAAGTTAAGGAACACTGTTACTGAGAATATGGCCGTTAGATGGCAGCAGTAGGTGAGATCTAAGATCAGATCAACAAAGATGTCAATGGAAGGTACATTTTGCATGAATAGCCAGACAGGAGGGGGAAATTGGACAAGAGTATTTTACAGAAAGACACGGAGTAAAAATGACTTAGTTTTCCGGGTGGAACGTGAAATTTATATCTTTCCCTGACATTACTGTAAAAGCAGTGTCAATTTCTATATTCTTTTGAAAAATGACCATCATTCCTAAGTAACAACAATTACCTCTTAGAGGTCACGGGAACATTCTCCAAGGGCCCTTTACCCAAAAGGCACTCATTTTGATCACATTCTGTCCCTAATATCTAGTGTTACTTTAGAAAGTTATCTCCTAGTAAACAGAGTAAGAGGTTTGGATCCCCAAGGCTGGACTCTAGTTCTGAGGGAAGGAATATTCAAACCCAGGAAACAATACTAGAAAAGCATCAAGAGGTACTTCTCATACGAACCGAATCATCTCTGTCCATCGAACAGCTTCCTGAAGCTCCATCAATCTCTCTTTATATTGGTTTCTCTCCATTAGAACGCGGGCCATTTCTACTCTAGTAAACCGCTTCCTCTGGGCTGTGGGAATATCACTCTATAATGAAAAGAACACAGCAGATCACTCTGGCAGCCTATATCTGCTTTTGGTGTTATGCTAAACTTAAGCAAAATCTTAAAGCTTTAAAACATTTCTTAATTTCTAATCTATTGCATCATTTAAAGAAAAATAACCTTATATAAAAATAAAATCAATAAAGAGATTTTAGTAATTACTTATGACGGAAAAGAGGTAAACAATTTAATTTCTGAATAGAAATACAAGATATTTGAACATACTGTAAAGCAAATACAAAGAACAGTGTAGATTCTGAACTAAAACCAAGATTAACAAAGTTAATCTATCTATATAGATTTAACATGCTTGCCTGGAAATGGTTCTTCTAACAACATTATTTTAAGTTGATGTTCTGTAACAAAAGCTAATTATTCAGCAATTTGTTACAAGTTAGTTCCAAAAGGGATTCACTCATCTCAAACTACCCATCATCTACATATATTGGCTAGGTACCAAGGTACCCAACTCTAAGAGTCATTAAAACACCAACAGAAATACAAGAAGCTGGAGACAAGTGTATTAAGTAGAATTCTTCTTAGGGAGACTAAAGGATGTGACTATGCTAAGACCCAAAGAAGCATGCTCAAGTCAACTTCCTTCTACTGTAATTTCTAAATGCTCTTCTGGGGGGAACACTGGTTTAACTGCAGGGCTCTTGTTTTGCTGAAGGGTGGGACAGTTAAGAAAGAGGCTAAGTTTAGTCCTTGGGGACCTCCTTCTTTGTCCTCCTGCTCTGAACTCTGCTTCTCAAACGAAGTCAAACAACAGAGGATTCAAGGACTCTGAGTCTGCAGCATAGCAATCACACTCCTAGATATATGCCATGGAAGAACCAGGAGACTTGCACTATAATGTTCCTAAAAACAGCACTGTTTGTGGTAGTAAAAAGCTGAAAATATCCTAAATATCCATTAATAGGAAAACAAATACATAAATTGTAATATATTCATACAATGGGATATTATAACAGAGTAAACATGAATAACTTCTGGCACTACACTACAACACAGGTAAATCTCAGAAACATAATGCCGAGTAAAAGAGGTAAATCTCCAAGTACGAAATAAAAAAAACAATGAAAATTAAGCTATATTTTGTAGGGATACATATATGTGTGATATGATAAAATTATTTTTTAAAAAATTTTAGGGGCACCTGGGTGGCTCAGTTGTTAAGCGTCTGCCTTTGGCTCAGGTCATGATCCCAGGGTCCTGGGATCGAGCCCTGCAATGGGCTCCCTGCTCCACGGGAAGCCTGCTTCTCTCTCTCCCACTCCCCCTGCCTCACTGTTGTCTCTCAGTTAAATAAATAAATAAAATCTTTAAAAAAAAAAAAAAAATTTAAGTGAGCTCTACACCCAACGTGGGGCTTGAACCCACCACGAATCCAAGATAAGAGTCCCATGCTCTACCAACTGAGCCAGCCAGGTGCCCCGATAAAATCATTACCATTATTAAAGGTAAGAAAATGATAAATATAGGATAGTGGTCTCCTCTGGAGGGGAGGAGCATAGGGTAGCTTCAATGTTTGATAATGTTCTAGTTCTTAGGTTAGGTGGTGGGTTCATTATGTTAATTTATTATGTTTCATAACTTACATATGTTACATATATTTTTGGTATGTACCAAGTATTATATATTTAAAAAAAGAGCCAAGATTGCAGGGGCATTAAATAATCACTTTGTACAGGTTACCCACATATCTCAAGTCTGATGCTTGACCAACAAACACCTGTTACAGGAATGATCATCTAGCTACCAACAGTTACTACGATGCTAATTATATTGGTAAAACCTCATCCTTAGTCTTCTGTATTTACATATGTTGAAAACAGTATAAGCTGACTGCTTACTACTAAAGTCCTAGAATTCGGGG